TACAGCCCCCACAAGGCCCAGATGAAGAACCCGATCCTGGAGCGCCTGGCAGAGCAGATCGCCACGCTGTGCGCCACGCTGAAGGAGTACCCGGCCGTGCGGTACAGGGGGTAAGGGCAGCGCCGTCGGCAACCCCCCCTCTGCCCCAGCAGCACGACGGAGCTGGGGCCGTGCCGAGCGTGGGGCCGTGCTGTGTCTGGTGCTGGTGAGGGCGTGAGGATGGAGGAGACGGTGGGATGGACGGACACCCGTGCTCAGTGTAAAAACAGACTCAGACTTGAAGATGGTCTGCAGAGCGGGGGAGGTTGGGACCCTAAAATCCAGGTGGCACCAAGGCAAAGCAGAGCACCCCAAGGAGAGGTGGAAATGGGCAACAAAACTTGCCCAGGTCCCTCCTCTCCCATGAGCCAAGGATGTTGCACAGGGAAACCAGCAGCTCCTCCCCATCCCACGCTGGCAAGAGCCAGCCGCCCCGGGGAGCTGACTTCTCCTCCTGCCTCCTCCAGGGACTACAAGGACAACGCCATGCTGGCGCAGCTCATCCAGGACAAGCTGGACGCTTACAAGGCTGATGACCCCACCATGGGCGAGGTGAGCAGGGACGGTGCCGGCAGCCCCAGGGGAGGATGCTTGGGTGATGCTTCACTCCTAAAGTCCCGCTCGAGTTCCGCCACGTGGCAGTTGCAGACCCCATGCGGGGACCCCAAAATGGCCTCGGCTTCCCCTGACCACCTGCAGGGCTGGAGGAGCCCCTGGCCCCGCTGCTGACGGCTTCTCCCGTCTCTGTAGGGTCCGGACAAGGCTCGCTCCCAGCTCCTCATCCTGGACCGTGGCTTTGACCCTGCTTCCCCAGTGCTGCATGAGCTGACCTTCCAGGCAATGAGCTACGACCTGCTGCCCATCGAGAACGACGTCTACAAGTGAGTTCGGTGCTCCTGTCCCCACGACCCCAATGGGCCCCACGAGTCCAGCCCTCGAGTGGGAGTTGGAAGCTCAGCCATGAAGTCTGAGCCTCAGCATCCCTCCATCCATCACAAGTCATTGGTTGGGAGAAGCCACTCCTGCCTGCAGCCTGGCAGGAGGTGTGATGGGCAGGATTGATGCAAAAGGGGCTTTTCCAGCCTTCAGCCCTTGGCCCCCTCCCAAGATTTAGCAGTTGCGGGGTACAAGAAGGCAAGATGTGAGAGTGAGTTGGAGTAACTTCACCCTGCTGCTGGTGGAGCCAAGAAGAGGCCCCATGTCCCCCCATGTCCCCCCACCTCCCTAGAGCCCAGGCAGCGAGGGGACCACATGCCCCCCAGCCCCATCCCCACCGTGACACCCCCGGTCCTCTTCCCAGGTACGAGACGAGCGGCATCGGGGAAGCCCGGATTAAGGAGGTTCTCCTGGACGAGGACGATGACCTGTGGGTCACCTTGCGCCACAAACACATCGCCGAGGTGTCCCAGTGAGTGTCCCTGTGGGGCGGTTTGCCTTTGCCCCCCACCCCGCTGTTAGGGTCCCCTCCCTGCTGATGGCTGCATCTTCCTCCTCTCCCCAGGGAGGTGACCCGGTCCCTGAAGGAGTTTTCTTCAAGCAAGAGGATGAACACAGGCGATAAGGTGACCCGACTGCGCTCGCTGAGCTGGGGGTGGGCACCCGGGGGGCTCAGCGCGGGTTGGCACACGGTGGAAGAGTCTCCTGGGGGATGTCTGGTGGGGACCTCTGCAAAGGGACAAGGGTGCCCAGGGCCCTGATGGGGGGAGATGACCATGGGGTGCCAGCCCTGCGCCTGGGGCTGGGGAAGTGGTGCCTTGGGAGAGCACTGCGCCACGGGGTTTGTTTTTCCCCTGGCACGGGGTCCGTGCCCGTTCCACAGCAGCTGCCTCTGACCCCGGCCCGTTCCCTTGCGGAGACCCCGAGTCGGTGGCGGTGAGGGGACCCCGCTGGAAATAGGATGTCGAAGTGGCCAGAAGCTGAAAGCACCATCTCACCCTCAGCCAAGTGCACGGGGGTCCCAGGGGAAGGCCCGGGGGGGATTTCTCCCCCTGGCACTCCAGTTTGCAGAGCTGCAGACCCCCTCCCTGCCCCTCAGCCGCACCAGAGGAGACCCGGCAGTGCCACGGCAGGCGTCACCAAACCCCCGTGAGGGACTCGCATGGGGAACAGAAGTCCTTGGTGGGGTCATCCCCTCTTTGCTCATGGTCCCTAAGTCCCTGAGGGTGAGTGACCATGTCCCCTTCACTCGCAGACCACCATGAGAGACCTGTCCCAGATGCTGAAGAAGATGCCGCAGTACCAGAAGGAGCTCAGCAAGGTACGAGGAGGGGAGGAGGTGTCTGCAGAGGAGCGGGTGATGGCAGCTGTGCCCGGAGCGTCCCCAGCCATGGGCAGGGGCTGAGGCTGGGGGG